TGTTCAGTCCCAGTTCCCCTGGAGCTGGAGAGACTGGGGAGAAACCCACGTGGATCTCTCTCCAGGCCCCACTCAGATCTTTTACACTGGGGCTCCGCTATCACATGCCAGCAGTTCTGAAACTTTTTGGTTGTGGGGCCCCTTTCCATACTTGTAAACTACTGAGGATCTCCAAGAGCTTTTGTAAATGTGGACTACAGCTACTAATACTTACCACATTAGAAATTAAAACTAAGAAAATGTCAAGTACTAGTTAACCTATTTAAGATAAGATTTACCTAAATAATATTTTTATGAAAAGTAACTATTTTTGGAAAAAAAAAAGTGAGAAAAGGGGCATTATTTTACATTCTGACAAACCTGTTTAATGTCTGGCTTAATAGAAGACAGCTAGATTCTCTTATCTGCTTCTGCAGTCCATCTGTTGCTATTATAACCTCTAAAAGAAATTCCTTGGTCCATTCACAAGAGAATATGAGTGAAAAGGGCAAATGATGTCTTTGCATTGTTATGAAAATAGTTTTGAACTTGCAGTCCCCTTGAAAAGGTTCTTGGGGACTCCCAGGGGCCCCTGGACCATCTTGGAGGACTGCTGCCTGCCGTATGCTGCTCTGAGTACTAGCACTGGAGGACACTGAATCCTGAATCAACTGCAGACTGTCAGGAGCTTTGCGCTCGGGTTCTTTGGTAAAGAGTGCCCTGAATGGGAAGAACGCTGCGTCTAAGAGGGGTAAAACAGTGTGGAAACCCAAATGCCACACCAGGTCATGCAGGCAGGTCCCAAATGCGGTGGGGATTTCGTGTCTAGGAGGGCACACAGTCTACCTCAAGGGCAGCAGCAGCTCCTCAGTCCGGCCAAATCATACTGTGCAGGACCGCAGGCTGAGGCTGGTCCTTATTTTTCAAGAGAAATCAGAAACCTGGATTATTTTTTTTTCCCCCAGAAACCTCAGAATTCTTAAGTGTTGGCTCCTAATTAAAAACAAAGACCTAAATGGAACAAATTAAACATGTCTGCTTGCCCCTGAAGCAACTTCATAAGTTCTGCCTGTGGTTTTCGACTCTGGCTTCATGTCATAAAACATCTGTGGGCTTTTAAGAACTACAGACCCCCTGACCTCCTGCAACAATCTCTGATGGTGCGGCCCAGGCACCAGTTTTTAGTTTCCTCCACAACCTCCTTAAATAAGTGTGATGTGCAATCAGGGTTAATATCCACAGTGAGCTCTATGCAATAGCACCACGTGCCAAGACAACCAAGTAAACTGTGCACATGCGGGGCTGTACTCTGAGGCCCCGTGCATCTAGTTTGCTACCAATAGTAACGCACAGCCACACTGAACAGGACTCCATGGGACCACAGGAAGGTTACTGCACATAGGTGGCAAAAACAAATCCTGTTCAACAAAACAAAGAACGCTGCTGCTTGCTGCCCACACTACCCCTAGGTCCTGAATAGATAACAACGCAAACCCATCTGCCTCCTGACTGCTGCAAAGTACCATGGAGAGCTACCAAGGCTCTGCCAAGTCAATACCAGCCACCTCTGCCATCAACAAGGTGAAAACTGAGAAAAGCCAAATCACCCTTGAAAAATCTCTAGACTGACACTTGCTCAGGATAGATCAATGGTTCTCAAATGGGGGCAATTGTGCCCCCCCCCGGGACACTTGGTAATGTCTGGAGACATTTTTGGTTGTCATAACTGGGGGGAGAGGGGAGGGTTGCTATAGGCATATAGTGGGTCAGAGCCAGGGCAGCCCCACAACAAAGACTGATCTGGTCCCAAATGTCTAGTGACGAGGCTGAGAACCCATGGCTAGATGATCATGCAATGAAAGGCAAGACGAAAAACAGGAGGACTGCTGGCCCAGCTCCCGCTGACCCAGCTTCCGCTGACCTCCCATTATAAGCTCACCGCAGGGCTATCTCATTTAGTGGGATTCAGCAGATTCACCCACACTACTCATACTCACTTTTTAACTCTCTCTGCTGAGCACTGAAGCTAAATGTGTCTATGACATGAGTCCACTGTAATGAAAATACTACTGTTTACTGTTTATTACTGTGTGTGGACACAGGTGCTAAATAATTTATGTGCATTAATTCATCCAATGCTCACAGCAACCGTGAGATAGATATGATTGTCATTATTCCCATTTTATGGTGAGGAAACTGAGGCTCAAAAGAGCTAAAAATTTGCCCAAAGTCACTCAGAGAATACAAGGAAGAGTCAAAACAAATCCTGTTTATAAGGCAAAGCTAGTGCCCCACCACCGTTTTATACCATTGGGTCTCAACTGCAGGTGGTTCTCCTTACTCCCTGTTCCCGGGCATGTCACAATGTCTGAAGACATTTCTGGCTGTTACAATCCCTGGGGTATGGTACAGGGGAGGGTGTGTGCTACTGGCATCTTGTGGGTGGAGTCAGGGATGCCGCTATGCTGCTAAACATCCTACAAGGCATCAGGCAGCCTCCACAACAGAGAATCATCGGCCCCAAATGTCAACAGGGCTAAAGTTGAGAATACTGCTTTATACCGTCTCTCAGATTTCCACCATGCATGTCCATAGGCCAGCAAGGACTCATATGTATGTGGTACCTTTTAATGCTGGGATCTAGAACCCAAGAATCTCTACAGCTCAAATACATTCTGCTCAAATACACTTTGCTCACCCTCTTCCCATTCTTCTTTACCTTTACCAGGGTCAAAATGCTGCCTTCAAATCCTGATGTTGGTCTACAACGCAGAATAACTCCAGAGATAGGATGAGTAACGAGTGTGGGATGTATCAACAGCAAAATTTCAAGCAGAAGAGAATATTCCAAAAAACACAAGTGTAAAACACACACACACACACACACTCTCTCTCTCTCTCTCTCTCTCTCTCTCTCCTAGGAGAGAAACATTTCAACTAGACTTTAAAAGTCACGGGCCACAGGACTACCAAAAAAGGGCTGTGGGAGTTGCTGTTACCATCCCTGAAGAGATCATCGTGGCAATGAGGACCAACAACATGCTGTATTGGATACACCACTGGAAATGTTTCTTTGTACATAAGAATCCCTAACCTGTCCCACTCAAACCAGTGGTTCTCAACCCTGGCTGCATATGAGGGTTAACTGTGCTGCTTTGTAACTGTACAGATGCCCAGGGCCCACCCAATGCCTCACAGAATCAGAACAGGTGGGGTGTGGGGACTGAGCATTTGTGATTTTAACATAGCTTCCCAGGAGATCCTAATGTCCAGCACTGGTGGCCAGCCACTGCTTCAGACTCACACAGAGGTGGCAATGGCCCAGAGAAGAGAGAGAGGGTGTGAGGATGGACCAGCTTAGGATCCCAGTCTGCAAAGACAGAAGCCAAGAGGGCGTTTGCAGCTTAAATAGCAAGAGGGAAAGCACTCGGATGGGGTAGTCCCCAAAGCTTCAAAATGCACGGCAAGAAAGTCTTAGCTTACACAGGGGATAAGAAATTAAACACCCAAGCCAAATCCACAAATGGAGTCAAAAAACACGTAACGACCAATTAAAGGATGGCAGGGATATGTGATGCATAAAAAGCCACTGAGAGTTGATTTCCTGAGGACAACTATGCCAGAACTAGGGTCAGAGGCAAAGTACTAGGTGAGTGTGGCCTTCATTAGGCAAAAACTTTAAGTACAAAACATTCCATTATCTATTTTACTTACCTGTTTGACTACGCAATTTACAATCGACAGCTCATGTGTCAGCATATATGCTAGAAATGGTATCCCTGGAAAATAGAAATCCATAATTTTCCCTTTATGCTCAAAGTATACCTCACAATAAAGGTCCTCACTGATGAATTCATTCATTCATTCATTCATTCATTCGACAAACATCTCTTGGATACCTATTCTGTGTCAGGAGCTGTTCTAGATGTAAGCAATCCATCAGTGAACATGACAGACAGAAGGCCTTGCCCTCATGGAGCTTATATATATTCACAGAAGGGTAGTAGTTGAACAAACAAGTAAACCTAGCATGCCAGATGGTGATAAGTGTTGTGGAGTAAACATAAAGCAGGAAAAGAGGATAGGGAATGTGGATACAATTTAGAATAGGTGGCCAGAGAAAGTCTCAATAATAAAGTAATGTTTGAGTAAAGTCCTGAAGGAAGGAGTGGGCCATGGGGATAAATGCGGTAAAACTGATGCAGGCAGAGGAACCACAGGTCCAACAGCATAAAAGAGAGAGTATAGAGACCATGCAAGGGACAGTGAGAAAGCCAGGGTCAGGGAGACAGTAGTGGGAGAAGAGGACAGGGAGGCATGGGGGAGGGGCACTCTGGCTTCTGGGTTGAGCGCTTGTTAGATGGGTCAGGGTGGAAGGCAAGCCCAAGGGGCAGCAGTGTTGGTGGTGAGAAGTGGTCACCCTCTGGAAATGTTTTTAATGAAGAGCTGACAGGATCTGCTGTGGTGCATAAGAGAAAGAGAGGAGTCAAGGGTGACTTCAAGGTGTTGGCTTGATTCAAAGAACGGACTTGCCATTTACTATAATGGGGGAAAGACTGTGGAATGGACAGGTTTTGGAGGAAAGACAGGAATTTTGTTTGATATGTTTATTTAGACATCCAAATGGAGATGTCAAATATGATGTTGGGTATATGAGTCTTTAGATCAAGAAACTGAATGGGCCGAAGATGCAAATATATAAAGTTATATCACATTGATTCCCATTCGTCCAGTCTCTCTGCTGCCTTTAAATGGGTCTTATGAATGAAATGCTCAACCCTCTGTGGGCTCCTTTATCTTATAAAAGATATGTGCATAAAGTGTAAGATAAAGGTGTGGGAGGGGGATCTGAAGCCAGACCTCATTGACTCACATCCCTGTTTCTCACTGTGACCTGCCTTGGACAAGTAACTTAATCACTTAGTTTCCTCACCAAGAGCCACACTACCTATCTACCTCATGGAGTTTATGAGGATGAATATTAACCAAGATAAATACGGTGATCAAGACTTTAACAGTACCTGGTACCATCCCAATGCTCCACCAGGGTGAGCATTTATTATTATCATTCATGCATTCGTGCAGTTCAGTATGGAAACCTCAGGATACCCTTTGATAGCTGGGAGCATGGTATAGGGAGGGAATCAGGACCAGGCAGGGAAACAGCGCGCCTGTCGTCGTGCACCTAGAAACAGAGGGAGCTAAAAATAGGCCTCGGAAGTCCTGAAGCTACAGCGATACCAACACCACTGTTGATTTAAGCAGACATCGGCTTATGGAGTACTTTCTCTGGGGGATTCTAACTGTAAACTTGTCAAAAACGCTTAGGTGGGATGTCAGCGCTCCACAGAGGAGGGAATCACACAGTCTCTGTCTGTCTCTCTCTGGAAGTGCAGCAAAAAGGGCCAAAGAGAAACCAGGGCTTTCGGTGGCCCACATCCTACTGCGGGGCCTGAAATGCAGGGAGGCGAGGCACGAATCTCAGGTCACCACGAAGGATCCGGGAGAACTGGGGGCCGAGTTCGGGGTGGGGGATGAAAACAGACCAGGCGTCCTCCATTCTTGGGAGTTGGGCAGGTCCGCGGAGGATGAGAACCCACAGAACTAGGAGGTGGGCCGGCTCGGCAGCCAGGCCAGGAAGGGGGGAAAGCCCAGGTCCCTGGGAACGAGGAGGCGGGGAGGGAGTGTGGCGTGTTGGGCCCACCACCAGGCCCAGAGGTCTATTTACATCCGAGGCCGAGGCGCTGGCGCCGCGCCTCCCACCCCCTTCAGCCTCCGGCCTGGTCCGCGAGACGGAAGGGCCTCAGGGCCGCGGCCCCAGCGGCCTCCCGGGCCCTCTGGCCAGACGGTTGCAGGGTCGGAGCTGCCAGAAGTGATGGGCCGGGCTAGTGAGCCCGGCCGGAGGGGAGGCAATGGGGGGCGGCTGCGGAGCCCGCTGCGCCACTATCCCGAAGCAGGTGGGCCCCCCGCACTACGGGGTGCTCACCCCTCGGGCCTATGGCCTTTGGACCTCCCCCCGCCCGTCCCCTGACCGCCAGCTGGCTCCCGACGGCGCCTCCCCTACCTTCGTTCGCCAGGTCCGCCATTTTACTTCCTTAAGCCCTCCCACAAGGCCCTGCGCCGGCCCGGGCTCGCTTGCTTTCTGCCAGAGACTCTCGCGCGTGCGCACTTCCCTAGCCGACTCCGAGCGAGGCAGGCAACTCGCGCCTGCGCGCTGAGTCCGGCGCGGAGTCTAGCTCCGGATTGCGGTCCCCGCCTGGCTAAGCTTTGAGCGCGCGCCTGCGCGCTAACCGACCCGCCTCCTTTTCCCGCCGATAGAGGGGGTAAGGACAGGGCAGGGCGCGTGCGCAGTGGCCCTCGCGCGCGTTGCGGGCAATACGGAACAAGCGTTCTGTTAGGGTGCACGGTGGATATTGGGTCTTGACGTCCCTGCTTTTTGCTTGTTTACTGGGGGGTCCCGGTGGTGAGAGAGTGAGCCATCTAGGGTGCTGCGATCGAGACCTTTTTCTAGGTGAATCCCTGGGTCTGCGGAGGGGGTACTTTCCACACGCGCAGGCCGGAGGCCAGAGGGGGTTGGCCTGCCAGAGAGTTTTGGGGCTCCCTGTCACCTCAGGCTTCAGTTTCTCCTTCTGAGGGGCAAGTACCTTGGGCAAATGCTTTCTCGAGGCCACATGAGGAGGCGAGGGTGGTTGGGGGATGGGAAGCAGAGGTCAGAGGTTAAACATTGGTCAAAGGGGTGTGTGTCAGTGGGGGAGGGGCACAGGGGAGGGAGACCCAGCGCTAAGGGACTTGATCTCTGAGCTACCAGAATGGGAGCCCCAGGACCTCCAGACCCTGACACTCTGAATGGAACAACACCTGCCACGGACCTCGAGTTTTATCTGTAAAATGGGCTGATAAACCCCACAGGCAGATGTGAGAATGTCGGACACCCTGGATTCCTTTTTTTTTTAAATTTTATTGGGGAACAGTGTGTTTTTCCAGGACCCATCAGTTCCAAGTCAAGTAGTTGTTTCAATCTAGTTGTAGAGGGCGCAGCTCCTTGGCCCATGTGGGAATCAAACTGGCAACCTTGGTGTTAGGAGCCTGTGCTCTCACCACCACCCCCCGCTGGACTCCATGACTCAACCTGCTGTGAATCTCTCAGAACACCCTGTGGGCTCTGCCTCATCTCCACAATCCAACCCAAATCTACCAGTTGTCACCAGCGGGGCTGTCTCCCCTCCAGGCCAGGCCATCCTCATCTTTCTCTGGGAAGATTGGACAGCCTCCTCTCTCTCTGCTCTCCTTCCTTTCTTTCTTCCAGAGGGCCAGTCTCTGTTCTGCACACAGCAGCATGCAGAGCAATCTTTACAAAGTTTAGATTAGATCATGTCTTTCCTTAAGGCTTCCAAGGGGCTTTCTGCTGGGAATCAATCCTAAACTTATTTAGGCTACACAGCCCCCTCCCTGCGCTTTGCTCACGTGCTTCCCTTTGCTCACTGCAGTTTAGCTACATAGGTCTTTCCTTGGAGCACACCAAACTCCTTCCAGCCTTAGGATCTTTGCATTTGGGGATCCCTCTGCTTGGGACCGTGTCCTATGTCTCATCTAAGTTTGAGTCCCAGTTCCACGCCTCCTTCTCCAGAGTGACTTATAGCTTGTGGGCCACATCTGGCTTGTGAACTAAGAATGGTATTTTTAATTGTTGGAAAAAAATGTAAAGAAGAGTCATACCTCATAACGTGAAAATTGTATGAAATTTAAATTGTGGTGTTCATAAAATTTTGTGAAAACAGCTATCCTTCACTCAATTTACATATCGTGTGTGGCTGATTTCCAGCAGCAACAGCAGAGCTAAGTCCTTTTAACAGACTTTGGCCAACAAAACTTAAAATTTTACCATTTGGGTCTTTATAGAAGTTTGCCTGGGTGGCCAGTTAGCTCAGTTGGTTAGAGCGCAGTGCTTATAACACCAAGGTTGCCAGTTCGATCCCCACATGGGCCACTGTGCTGCGCCCTCCACAGCTGGATTGAAGCAACTACTCGACTTGGAGCTGATGGGTCCTAGAAAAAAACACTGTTCCCTAATTTAAAAAAAAAAAAAAAAAAAAGGTCCAGCCGAGTGGTGTGTTGGTTAAGAGCTGGCTTGGGATGCCAGCTCTGAGCAGCAGGGCCCTGGTTTGGATCCCACATGAGGGCCAGTGACGCTGCGCTCTCTACAGCTAAGATGGTGAACAACAGCTCGACCTGGAGCTGGGCTGCTGTGAGTCGCCGGCAAAGCGGTAGGCTGCAGCCCCTGCTGCAGTGGGCTGCCATAAGCTACCGTGAGTGGCTGGCAGCCAGCGTGAGTGGCTGGCAGCCAGTGTGAGCTGCCAAGGGCCGCTGTGAGTGGCCATCCAGAGGCCGGTGACCCATCTGCCTCATTCGGGAAGAGCGCAGTGATAATACCAACATGGGCCAGTGAAGCGACGTCCTCCACAACTAGACTGAAGAACAAAAAGACAGCAACTTCTCTGTTTCTCTTCCCCTATTCCCCAATGCTGTTCCCCTCCCCCAATTCCCCATTAAAATCTTAAAAAAAAAAAAAAAGTTTGCCAACCTCTAATCTAGGACACATGTATCTACATTGTTGGCCTGTAGAAATCTGTACAACCAGTGGGGGTGTGGTAAATGTTTAACAACTGCTCTGAGGGAGAAGGTGTGTGCAGTATGTATGTATGTGTATCTCTGTGTATATAGTTTATGTAAATCTTACTGATATTTTCCTATCACTTTCTTAAGTCTAGAAGACAATAAAACAGTAAATGAACCCTGGTTTGTGGTGCTGATTTATTGTTGGGGGTGGGCATATATTTAATATTAAAAATTCCCCTCAATTTTATTTAATAGACACCTGGATTCTGATACCCTAGATTTTGCCACCAGGCTAGAGGCACAAGCCACAGACCTTGAGTTAGAAATTCTCCAGGAATAGCTAGAATGTCAATGCTGGGAAGGACCCCGGGGGTCATCAAGTCTGTCTGGTGGCCCGCAGTGCATGGACTTAGGTTTTCTCATTTCTAGCTTGTTGGTTTCATTATATTCATTTTACGTATTTCATTACATGTAACTTCTCTTGGGCCAGCCTCCTTGGCCTTTGCTGACTCTCTGAACCCTCTTGAATGAACTTAATATTTTTCTTTCTTTTTATCAGATTTACATTAGATACTGTATGTCGCCATTTAAAATAGAAAACCACACACAAAAAATGGAAAACCACAAAGCCATGACTAGGAGATCATTGTAAAAATAAACAGGAAAATAAAACAAGGTTTTTAAACTCTGGGTAGATACTGTATCTGCCAAGGTGCTGAGTCCCAAGCCTGCTTTTTTCCTTGATGTAAAGAAAGATTAGCAAAAGTATTAGAGAGGGATTTAGGCATATTAGCACTCAACTGAACTTTCTCCTTGACATGAGGAGAAGGTGTGAAAGAGAATTGAAAATGGGATAACTATAATCCATGTGATTTGGTGTCATTTAATGCCATGTCTACATGTCTCCTAAAGTCATTTCATACACTCAGTCATCCCACACTTTGGGGAACTCCCAGCAACATGTCATCACTTGCTAAGTATAACCCAGTTGTGGTTTTTCAAGGCACATTAAGAGATGTTAACAGGCCAACTGAATTTCCACTGGTTTCACAATTCTCATCACAGTGCCAGTGGCTGCCAACATCGTGGCCCTTAGGCCTTCCTTTGCTTTCTTTATCTGGTCTCTAACAAATTAGTCAATATTTATTTATTAAGCAAATATTGATTACCTACTGTGGTAGTTTTAAAATATGGCCCCAAATTCTATGGCCCACTTTCCAACAGGAGGTGACGTCTCTGTTCCCTTCCCTTTGAGGGTGTGCTTGTTATGCGCCCATCAATAAGTATAGGAGAAATGACACTAACCTATAAGGTGAGGTCATAACAGGGACAGGCTGTAACTTCCACCTGCTTTGCTGGAACACTTGCTCTTAAAGCCGTCAGCCGTCATGTAAGCAGTCCAACTGCCCTGAGACTGCCATGCTATAAGTAAGCTGAGACCACAAATCCCAAGAGGACTGCCCAGCCTAGTACATCTCTTTCCTCACCCACAGAGACCATGAAAGATAAATGATGGCTGCTGTCATAAGCCATTAAGTTTGGGGGATATTTGTTATGCAGCAATATATCCAGCAGACCTGCTATGCATCAGGATAGGTATGCTTTACAGGCTGGGGCTCAGGATGAATAAGACAGCCTTCCCAGAGCTTTGCTTTCTTCTGTGGGGAGACTGACAATGGGTAAGCAAAATAGTTTGAGATAGTGACTAGTGCTACAAAGAAAACAGCATATTTGGACAGAGTGACGGGAAGGGGATACTTTAGATCGGCTGGTCAGGGACGTTCCCTTGGGGGTGACATTTTAGTAGAAGATCTGCAGGAGAAACATTCTAGACAGAACAGTGAGTGCAAAGCTCTTGGGGCAGGAATCGGGTTGGTGAGCTGGAGGACCTCAGTGTAGCCAGGACAGAGTGAGGAGCTGATGTCAGGGAGGGGTGGGCAGGGCCTTGTAGGCCACAGCGAGGAGTCTGGAGTTTGTCCTAGTACAAGGATTGCACGTGGGAAACGGAGGGATCTAAATGGTTTAAACGGCTGACCAGCCTTTCTGCTGCCTGCTTCCTTGGCTTACCATGAGACAAGTCTGAGGTTCCCCTGAGCCAGGGGAATGTATGAAATGTCTTGGTACGATTTTTGCAACTTTTTGGTCTGCCTGAATTTATTTTAAATTGAAATAGCTTTGAGAACTGTGAACTTTCTTCTCCACAGCCGAGGTGGAAAATGGCTTCTGCAATCAGGCTCCAGGAAAAAGGGCCCTCAGAGCTGTAATTCAGTTCTCATCTTCCCCTCGTGGGCAGGGAGCCAGCATGTGAAGTATGTGTTCTGTGTCACATGGAGGTCAAGGACCCAGAGATTAATCAGATGCAGTTCCCTCCCTCAGGAAGCTTAGAGTCAGGTGGGGGCAGAGGGAAGCCATCAGGGCTGCCTCCTCGGCTGGGCACCCTCCCCTCCCCTCCCTCAGTCCTGACAGGGTCAAGTTCCTGACAGTTGGATGTCCAAGGTGGCCAGTGCTGACACAGAGGGGACCCCTGAC